TTCCCTGCTTTTGCAGAAGATTCAGTAGAGAGATCTCAGCTTTCATCTGATGGTGCAGACATTGGTCCCATGGTCAGGCATGGTTCAGTGCCTTTTGGACCATTTGCTATGGAGCAATCCTGTGGGTTAATTTTTGTTTCCTAGCCAGACTTCAGATAAGAGATGATGTCACTTCTCTTTGTTGGTCTTTTCATGAATATTAAATTGCAGAGTGGAAATGAGGTGGAAATCACTCGCCCCTCTCATGGGCTGACGTCCATGCTGCTCATTCATCAGTCCTTAATTAGCTTAAGGACAGGTTTGACAACATTTCCATCCCCTCATTTTCTGGGATCAGTGGGAGTGAATGAGAGCCCCCAGATTGCATTTTTCCCCCCTCTTTTTTTTCCTCTATTTTTTTTTTTTTTAAGGTTCTGCTTTACAACCTCTTACAGACCAAATGTTAATTTTCAAGTCTGAATGGATGTAGCAGCTGTAACATTTTCAATAGCGCCTTCCTCTTCTACAAAGCAATCCAGCAGACCTACTGTTACATGCTTTGGTCTCTATTGCTGCATTACCCTGCTTCCATTTCAATACTTGTATTGCTGGAGAACTGAAGCTGCTTTGGAGGCAAAGATAGGTGGCCACAGGAACAGTTGGGAGCAGCTTGTTGGGTTTTTAACATTTCAACTCATGGTGGGGACAAAAAAGCCCAATGACAGGAATGAGAAGAAAGCCAGGCTTGCTGTTATTAGCCAAGCCATCTTCTGACAGTGCTAGGATTCATGGGGTAATATTCCCACAGTAACACTTGGGCACAGCAAAGCGGAACATCAGCCAGAAATTGCCTTGGGTTTCTCCGAATGGGGAAAAATATCGAGCTCATGCCCTCTAGTGGCTCCATAGTGTGAAATTTGTGGCAGTAGGGTGCTAGCAGTGTTCTCACCTACTGGATGTTATGGGTAGGAAAAATAATAGGGATCTCCCCCTATTCCTTGCCTTCAATGGGAAGTTCAGAGCAGTGGTTTTAGAAATATGCAGCTCAGTTCTGCAGGCATGGAGATGAGCCAAAAGGCAACAGGGACAGAGAAGGCCACTGCTTGTTGCCTGCCATCCATCCATGGGGTCTGCCCAGGACAGCAGGCTTTGAAAGAACGTGGAGCCTAAATAAATCACAGATAGCAGTGTTGTCATCTGGTTTTGAACTGCTCTGGAATGTCTAGTCTTCGCCTGCCATTGGTGCAAGCTTCCCCCTGACACATCCAAGTGCGTGGCTGAAATATCTTCTAAGTCATGGATGTTAACGTATCATAACAATAATCTCCGTATTTTAAAGCCCATATGCCTCCCCCACGTGGACCTTCATTGGCATCTGCTTCTGATTAAACATCATTGGGTTACATCCTGAAATAACTTCAAAGATTTATTGACTTCCATGGTTTCAAAATAGCTCCTGAAGAGCATTGGAGAGCTGGTGCTGACCCAGGGGGCTGAGTCAGTGCTTGGTGCTCCTTATCCCCCAGAATACAGAACCAATAGTTCTACTTTTGCATGTCAACCTGAAGCTATTTCCACTGTGAAACTTCAGGAATTTACAATGAATACAAATGCTGAGCAGATCAGAGATGAATTCAATGACCCACATTGCCCAACGCAGCAGTGACCTCCCATTGCCTCTGAGAAATTCCCATTCCTTTGAGGTTCCAGTCCTAAAGCAAGAGAACTGTGGCTCCTCCCTGCATTTGTTTCAGTCCTTTTTGTTCCAAATGGTTATCCTCTCTCTCTCCAAACAAATGCTGAGCATCTGCTCAAACCCCTTAACTATTTGGTGGCTGTAAGAGCAATCAGCTCTTACCTTTGGCCACAGGCCTGGAGGGTGTCTGTCCTACTGGTGGTGATGGTAAGCTGCCATCAGAGCTTGGTGGCTTTCAGTGGCATGTGAAGGTCAGGGTTAGGTGGTTGGAGCTGAGCTGCTGTGCTGTGGGGTTGGGTAGAGCATGCAGGAAGGAATCTGCAGCCTCTGAGGAGGATTCTGTAGAATTGCCCTGCTTTCCTTTAGGCTCTGTTCAAAGCAGGGTGCTGCCTTCTGCCTTGAGAGCAGAGGCTCTCAAGAGGGCTTTTCTTTCAACCAAAGACAGACCTATTAAAAAGCATGGCTCTGGTCTCTGCCAAGAACTCCATTTCTGCTAGGATTTCAGAAGCTATTTAGTGTATCCACTTCCTGGGAATCTCTTTCCAAGAGCTTTGTGTTGATCCTTCCTCTCTCCGCTGTGGGTCCACAGGGCGGGGGTGTGGGGAGAGCACTGGGGACATTGAGGAGGAGAGGAGCTGTGCTCTCAGCCAGCAGAGCACAGTGATGGGCACCACGTGTAGGCTAGACCCAGAAACATGGTTATTCTTCCTGGTCCTGCTGCTTGGTTCCAAGCCAGAGACAACTCCGAGTGTTTTTCATTGGGTTTGCTTCCCGTTGACCCAAGTGATGCTGTGCTTGAGATGCTCACATCCTATTTCCATTGCAATGATTTCACTGAGCAGGCAAACGGCAGAGCTCATCACTTTGTGTCAGCCTAGGGTCTCTAAGAGGCAGAGACTCTAATGGGTTTGCACCAGAGGACTGCTTTAGGGGAATGACCATGCTCTGTACAAGCCAGAGCTCTGCCAAGTCTCTGTTAACCAGCACAGCTCTGAACGAGGATGGGAGGATGCTGCAGCTGCTCCCTTCTGCCTGCTGAGAGGGGGAGGGATTGTTCAGCAGTGCTGCTGATCCCAGACAAAAAGGAGATGGAAAAGACACCATCCTCACGCCTCTGTTGTGGCCTGGGTAATGTGAGTCACGCTGAGCGCCTGGGGCATCCGGGGCTGCTTCCCTCGTGCTGTCCTCCTCTGCTCCTCCAGCACCGGGGCTGCCTCTGTGCCCGGCCGAAGTGGCACAGCAGTGCTTCTGCCTGGGGTTAAATTTAGGATGCAGAGGGACAGCCTCCAGCATGGAGTGGGAAGAACATGCCCCTGTACCCTCAGCAGCTCAAAGCAGAGCTGGTGCGTAGCACAGGGCTCCAGTAGGAGCGTTCCCAAGCCTTTGGATCTGTGGTGGGACAGAGGAGTAAATTTGACACATATTTTCCATCCTCAGCTATCCACATTGCCCCTAACCTGATCCCAATTAGATACACAGAGGCAGCTGCCAAGGAACTTTTATGAGTCATTTGAAAGGGAGCCTGCACCAGAGTCGTGTATTCGAATCCAGCTGTCTGCACTCTGTTGTTGTTTAAAAGGACATTTGTGCTTGCTTACCTCACCTAGGAAAGGGCCAGTGGGCCCCTGGACATGGGGGAACTGGTTGTCAGCCCAGGAACACACTGTGTATTCCTTGAAACAGACAGAGAAAGTGTGGAGCTGTTGGCAAGGGCTTGAGAAGGGGAGCCCTCCCTTAGAAAGTTTCATCTCAATCTATAATAATCATTGATCAATCTAAACCCTAAAGAAAGAGGATAAAATTCCTCTCCCAAATGCTCACTCTTATTCTAAGTTATTCTGGGCAATCCCCTGACTTGTAACTTGTTTTGGTCTTGGTATGGCATAGGCTGCATTCACCACTGATACCATGCAAACTTTTACTAAGTAGAATTGTCCCATCTTTAAAATTCAGTGTCTGCCATGCACCCTTCACTTGGCTTTTTGTGTTTCTAAGGGACTACCGCTCTTTTAGCTCTTATTTTTCAACATTTCCAATAAAAGCTGGGACTCCTGTAATGCAGAAGAGTGAGAGCTGAATGGGGTGCTGTGGTGAGCCCAGTGAGCACGGTTCCTGCAGTCTCTACCCTGGCTGGGATCTCCCAGTTTCCCAGTCTCTGGTACTCTTTCCCTGGGACAGGGCACCCGAAGCACCAAACCTACATCCAGCATCACTAGATGGTGCTAATGCTTGCGTTTTCCCCACCTCAGCCTGGTACCCTGCAGCCTGCACCTTGAGGAGTGATGCTGGGGGCCCTTCTGGGCACCCATGGACCGGGGCAATGCTTGGCCTGCCCTTGGCAAGAGCTACTAATAGCCACGGTTACTAATAGCAGCAATTCCCATCTCTCGGCTCGTCTGCAGGCTAGCTAGGGGCAGAGACCCAGGCTCAGCAGACTGCAATGTCCCTGCAGTGTTATGCCCTCCCTACTGCTGCTCTTTTTAGGGGTGCAGAGCCTGGGATGGGGCACAGGGATTGCATTCCTTCAACTGTATCAGTTTTGCATTGGTTTAAGCCTGTGGGTTGATTGTCTCCAAGGGATCAAATCTGCACATGGGTAGGGGTGAGTGGCTGTAATTCCTGGTGCTCCATGTGCTGGTGATGGGCTGAGGACACACATCCGTGTACTCAGCTCAGAGCAGAAAAACACATTTTTCAGGTCACTGCTGGGGTTGGGCATTTGGGTGAGATGTTGTGTGATGAGGATCTTCTTATGCAAGGCTCGCCAGCTTTTGGGAACCCCACTCCAAATACCTGATGGATGAGGCATGGCCTGAAGCACAGCTGGCTGAACAGAAGCCCTCCTCACTGCAGGAATGGCCCTGAGGAGGTGCAGGGGCACAAGGAGGAATGAGAAGGTCTCACCCACACAGCTGACTCAGTGCTGATAAGCAGTCACAGCCAGACACTAAACTAATGTGTCTGGGAATGGTGTGTTACTGCTTGCCAGGCACAGAGACCTCCACATCTCACGGGGCTGAGCTGGGGAACCGAGCTGCCTCTCATCCCTTGGAGGACACCATATAGAGCTGGTTCACTTCAGGGGTGCTGAGTGGGGACGTTTTGGGTGAGCAGGGGGACAGTTGGCAGTGCCTTCCCATGGCATCAGCCCAGGCTGTGGCCGTTCCCAAGTGGGGAGATCAACTCCAGCCAAGGATGCTTGCCAGCAAGAGCCAATGTGTTCAGTAAGAGCCACACACACCCTGCCTGGCACCCAAAGGGTTTCAGTTCTGTATAGATGGAGAGATGGAGAAAAAATGCATCTAAAAATATATTTTTCTTGCAGAATTAAAAAAAGGGGCACCAATACTATGGATATTTCAAGTCTCCAGAGAGCTCTGCTTGGAAGGAAAGAGACGCAGAGCGCCTGTAGCAGAACCAAAGATTCAGCTCACTGAATTCTCTGCTTTTTCCTCCCAATTCTACAAAAACACCCTTCAGACCACCATTGCTCCAGCCATGGAAGCAATATAGTGATGGCCCATGTGAGAGCTCAGGAAGGGAGGAGGAGGAGAAGACCCAAGTGGCTGCTTTCTTGGTGCTGAGGACGATGTGCCCTGCTGCCATGTGCCAACCTCTGCACTGGGCTCCTCCACCTCCCAGTGCTGTGAGTCACTGCAGCCATCCCTGCACCACATCCCCCAGACAGAGCCACACTGCATCTCGGGACATTCTGTGAAGAAATTGCATTCTCGTGACTAAATATCAGCATAGAGAATGAATGAAGGAAGACCAGAAATTTACTTAAAATCTGCCACCAACTCCTCAGCACAGGGGAAAGTCTGGTGTTGGTGTCATGGCCTGAAAGAGATGCAAGCAGAACGATTACTTGTGTTCACAGAATCCTTAAAGTTGGAAAAGACCACCAGCATCATCGAGTCCAACCGTGTTGGGGCAGTCTGCTCAGACACATCTCCTGTCCAAGAGCTTCCAACTTTCTGCAGTTTCCTTATCCTTGTGCCTAAGGGACACCAAGGCACAGAGTACTTTGTAGGCATGGCTGGCTGCCAGCCACCCTTGTCCTCTGGTTAATAGAGGAGCAAATGGAACCATTGCAGGTAACATGAACACTGCACAATCCCGTCATAGCCAGAAATGTTTCAGCTGCATCATTATTTATTTTTATTCTTTTCCTGCAGCATCTTGTTTGCCCTTGGTTGTAAGAGGATTGAGCTGATGTTAGCATTGTTTTCAATTGGTATTTTTCTGAAGAAAAAGGCATGAATGGACACTGCAGTTTTGACTGATCTGATAATAAGTATAGGGGAAAGCACTTGGTGTGGTTTCATTGCCCTGTTGTCCTGGGCTGCAGACGGTCACTGAAGCTGTGCTCACCCCTCCCAGGTGCTAACACTCAGCCTCTGCTGGGCAGATGAAGCACAGCTGGGTAAGGAGCAGGTCCTGATGGGCATTGTTTGTTGGCCTGGGAGCTTGCCTTGCCTATTTAGGGACCTGACACAAACCTGGGAGCTCAGAAATGTGGTGCTCTCTGCTGTAGCCGTTCATGTTCTTCACATTCAGCAGGTGTGAGCTGCCACCAGCAGCAGTTTTTCTCCTTGGATTCCAGGCACCGTTCACATCCCACTGTTTGGAATATGGCCATCGCTACATTTAGCCACCAGTCCTGGAAGGATGTGGTGCTGCCCTGCTGACAACCCACCAGAGATGCCCTGAGGGCTGGGATGCACGTTGCTGTCTGCCCTGAGGCTGTAAGGTAAAAGATGCACCAATGTTCATTGTAAATGAGAAGCCTTTTCTTTGAATGGGGAGATTAAAAGCAAAACTCTCTGAACTTCCTTCTCCTTTGGTTATGTTACATAAAAAAAAGTTAAGTTTGTTTAAGTTGGGAACTGGAGCAGTTCTTTATGGCCCCTGATTTCTTTCTTTCTCTTCCTGGTCCCAGTAACAAGGGCCAGAGTAGTGGACCATGCTGGACACAGCTATTTCTTTGCTGATGTTAATTGCAGCCCTTCATGGGGGAGGAGCAAGGCAGCTGATTAAACTGAAGGCAAAAAGAATTTCTGCCTGGGCAAAGCAGAGCAGAAAACAAAGGAGTGGGAAGGGTCAGTAGTGCTGGCTGTGGGGCTCTGCAGGGTGGGGAAGGACATACGTGGGTCTAGGAGAAATCCAAGGGGAAGCATAAGGAGGCAGAAAGGATTATTTGCTAATAGAGAGAACCAGGGTGCTGCTAAATACCCAAACCTTCACTGTTTCACCCAGAGCAGGGGTGGCTGTGGGGCTGGGTGCATTGCAGGGCAGTTTGGGATGGTCCCAGGTTGGTGCTGGGTGCCCTGAGAGCCTTCTGATGCTCTGTGAGACCTGGGAGAATCAAGAAGGAGCACGAGCAAATGTGTTTCCACTTAGCTGCTCTGCAGAGCCAAATGATGTAACTGCTCGAAGCCCTGCACTATATTGGCAGGAGGAGCCCAGTGACAGCTCCAACTGTAAGTTCCTGAGCTAATGAGCAGAAAAGCTGAATAAAACTGAAGAAAAAAAAAAGCCTTTTTCTTTGGCTTAACATAGCGATCCTTCCCGGGACTGTTCCTTCAGCTGTTCCTCTGCTCAGAGAACAAATCCAGACCCAAAAGATGCTGGCTCCTCTCCTCTGGTTCTAATGGGGCAGAGCCAAGGGGTCAGTGCCCATTGGGAGCAGTGCTTCAGAGCAGTGCTGGGTACTTTGCTTGGCGCTGAACCACATCCCTGCTCCAGGAGAAGCGCTGTGCCATCTTTTCTTCCAGCCCTTATGGAGTTAAAACAATTATTATTACTAAGGGTGGGTTTCTCTCTCTCTCTCTCTCTCTCTGTGTTACCAGCAAAGAATGTTTTACTACAGCTCTCCACACAGCCACCAGCCTCCAAATGGACCACGTTACAGTAGGGCTAAATACTGTGTCAGAGACCATGTGTTTCTTGTAAGATGGGCTCGAGCCATGCCTGTGTAGAAAACTGTTTATCTTCCCCCCCCATCCCCCTGCTGCCTTCATCCTCCCATGGGCCGTGTGGATGGCTGGGGTGGGAACTTTCCTGGGATGCTGGCTGAGATTTTTTGCATGCAGACTGCCATGAGGGCTGAGCTTTGGATGGGACAAAGTGTCCCCACGTCTGCTGGGTGACACTTAAGGTCCTGCTGCCCACAAAAGGCACTGGGGTGCCCTGAGGTATTGCATCATGCAAGGAGGAGCACCACAGCTGCCTGGGGAGCCCTCTGCTAGAGGGTCTGGAGAGAGGCTGTACCCAGAGCATGGTGCTGATGTGTGTGCTTGGGAGTGAAATTAGGCTGGAGAGGTGTTGCTGCCCTGAGGTCCAGGTGAAGGTGAAGTACTCCTTTAGTTTGCAGGAAATCACGGTGTCTGTAGGGTAGATCGTAGAGCTGGCTGATTAGAGGAGTAAAACCTCTGATAATTGTTTTATTGGAACTGAAATCAGTGCAGAGTGGGGTCAGTTGGCCACGCTGCTCCAAGCACTGCTGTCACCGTGGCCCTGGTGGCACACAGTGCTGCTGCACTTCCATCCATACCACCATGCTTGGGGAACAACACCCTCCTTGCAGACTGGGGCTCATTCCTCCCCTGCACATCTCCAAAAGAGGGATGGCAGGGAAATCTGAGCTCCCCTCATGCCTTCTCCTCCCTATCTGTCCATCTTGACGCCATCCCAAAATACTAAAAGGCACTTTTCCTTTTTACTGTCCATGCTCTCTCTTGGCCACTGATCTGCACAATAGCATAATTGTACGTAAACATCTGATTTCTTTTACTTTGCCTCAGTAATAGCTTGTAGCAACTCCTTCCAACAACTATTAATACTGTGCTATATATTAGATCCAGACTTCAGATCCCCAAATGTGATTGTCTTCAGAAAGGGGGGGGGGGGAAAGCTGAAAGGAGATCTAACATTTACCCTCTGGTCAATCTTAAATGTAGCATAGACTGCATCTCCATATAAACTCAGCCGGGGCTCTTAATGCTAAACACCTTGGACTTTTGCTGTGAGAGATGATAGATGAGGCCCTGCTCAATCAGAGTGATGATTTCTCACCATCAGCATCCCACTGCTCAGGGAGGGCTGGCTGACCCCAGGGCCACTCTCCTCCCTCTGCCTTTCATGTGGAGTCGAGCAGAGCTGTAGCAGATCAAGTTCTGCTCCCTTTATAGAGGAAAAGCATGAGAGCAGAAGGATGGAGTGGCCAAGGCGGCTGGATGGTGCCACTGCAGAGGCAAAAGCAAAAATCAGCTAAAACATAGGAAAAAATAAAGCCAAAATATAGCTAAAAATAACTGTCATGCATAGCTCTTGTTCCTTCCTGCTGTGGAATAGGAGAATTTTGGAGCAACTCTGTAAAAACCAGCCTGTGCTTTAGCTCAGCTGTTCAGGAGCAGCAGTCTACCAGGCCAGGTCAGAATGAGGGGAGTGGGCAACATTCTCATTGGGAAATTGTCTTCTCTGTCCCAAGAGAGAAAATCCACACAGGCTGCAATAGCAAGGAATTGTGTTAGCTGTGATTGTATTGCTGGGAAAGAGAAAACCAGCCAGGGGTCAACTTTCCAGCTGGTCATAATCTCTGGGAAGTGTCCCTGCCCTTCCTTGCTGGGACACTGAGATCCAAATCTTAAGACCACAGTTTTGCAAAAACTGAGCACCTGTTGTCCTCAGCTACATTTTGGGTTTTCTTCCATTGCTGCTTGGCATGTGAACATGCCGTTATTGGGTGGTCTGTTTTGCTGGGGCTGCTCTGTGCATCACTGCTCCCCTGCAAATCTGGCAGAAGATTCTGAATGAGAAAAGGGCACTTATGAGCTTGACTGGGAGAGAGGTCCTTGAGGAGTGTTTGGAGCTTTCTGGTAGGTTTTCAGGCATGGTCAGTCTGCTAAAGGTGATCAGATTCTCCCTTTTCTTCAGCAGAAACAGCAGTTTGGTGATTTCTCCTTAGCTCTGTGTTTTCTAGCCACTGGACCAGCTGGGGCTGGGTGAAAGAGAGTGGCTGCACATCTTCCCGCTCCTAGTGGCTGGGACTATTAAGAGTCAGCCATGGGTTGCCCCAGCTCTTCAGGTGATAACCTGCTTCAGCAGCAGCTGCGCTCAGAATTTATTGGGCTGCAGCTGGGAATCTTTGTCTTTGTTCCACCTCTGCTATTAAACAGCTTGTGATAACACCGCCGAGCTCGCATCGAGGAGGGGAAGCTGAGCAACCTCAATTTTGAAGCTGAGCAGCAGCGGGGAACCCATCTTAAAGCTGCATCACCTCACCGGCTTCAAAAGCGAAGGAGCTTCTTTTATTGCAGCGAGCTGCTCTCCAGGAATGATTAAAGTCCCGTAAACGAGCACCTTCCTCATGGCAGAGCTGTCTGCTGACAGGGCGCCAAGTACAACAAGCCCAATCCAAAGCATCATCACCTCCATGGGGCTAATTGTCATTGCCTTGTCCCTGGAACAAGAATTGTGGTAAGGGAAAGCAGAGCCTGGAGACACATGCACGTCCCTGTACAGAAATAACCCCTGAAGGAGAACTGAAAAGCAATTGAGGAGTCGGCCTACGGGCTGCAGACAAAGCGCAGAGCAAAGGAGGTAACCAGCAGTGAGCGCTGGGAAATAATGCCTTAAATTCCCTCTGAGCCCGTTCATCACCGTGGCTTTGGTGATCATCTCAGCAACAAATTCCCTTATCATCCGGCTGGAATTTGATGTTAATGACCTGTCTGTTATTTCAGAGGGAGATGGACTGGAACCAGTGGGTAATTGGTAGGAAAAATCGCTGGGTGCAGCTAAGAGCTGATGCTACTGGAGTCGTTACACCACGAGAGAGGGAGATTAGGGAGCTCTGCTTACCACAAGGGGTTTATTCATCCTGAATAAATGCATTAGCTGACCAGAATTGTCCTCCTATGCCCTCATTGCTGTCTGGTGGCATCTCCCCACCACAACTCACCCTGCTTTTCCCAACAGACAGCAGAGAAAGCCCAGCAGAAGCTGATAGAATCATAGAACACCCAGAGCTGGAAGAGACCCGTAAGGATCATCGAGTCCAATTCCTGCTGTTGAGATGATCACAGTAGGGAATAACCTGCTCTCTTCAAGCTCACGCTGATGTATGCATTTATTTAGGAGTTCTCTCAGGAAAGACCATAATTATTCTGATTTCTTAATTACCAAAATTATTCAAACCCTTCTGCCCTGCAATGTTTTGCACAAACAACCTCCCAGATTGCAACAGCGTTAGGATTTGGGTCTGTTTCTCAGCTGGAAGGATTCTCTGCATTCATTGCCACTTCTCCTTGCCATCACATTAGCGGGGCAGCCTGCAGCCCTCACCAAAAATAGGATAACTGGAGAGCGTCAGGGGAGAGCTAGAAGCAAGTCCGGAGGTAAAGCCTTTGCTCTGTTGCAAAGAAGGATAGCTTTGCTGGGACTTGATGTCTGTGCTTTTTCTCAACAGTTTCCCATTCCCACCTTGCACTTCCCAGCTAACTGGACCAGCACCAGTCACGTTTTGGTGAGCACACCTGCTTTATAAATTAGTTCCCAGGAGTATTTGCAAAAACAAAGCTGAACTGCAGGGCCACGGGACTGGGTTTGCTGCAGAAATACCAACACATACTCATAATAAAGCAGCTGCACGCATTGCCCAGCTCTGTCTGTAACTTCCCGTCATGTCTTGTACCTTTCTGGGAAGAAGAATGGGTGATGGTGGTGGGAAAATTGCTTCACCGAGCCAAGAAGGGTTTTGCAATCGCTTTTGATGGAACTGGGGCTGCTTTTAACCCTACATATTCCGCACGTCTCTGTACAGCCCTATGGGTTCTCCACTGCTGTAGGCAGTGATGGAGAAGAAAAAATGGGTAAGGATTGAACACCCAGCCAGAACTGTGCATAAGGGCCAGCCCTATGCCTTCTTTGTGCACTGCTGCCTGTCCCCAGCATCACCTCAGGGTGACACGAGCTGGGGACCATGAGTGGTGAGGAGCTCACATGGTGCCTCTCCCTGAGCTGCAGACACAGAGGTTGGATTTCTTCCCTATAGCTGCGTGACGAGCTGCTAACTGCTCCATCAGAAACCCAGGCAAGAATCTCAGATTGTTGCTTTCCTTCGCGTGGGAGACTTTTTGTGCAAAAAAAAACATCAGCAGAATGAATCAAATGCTGTGGTAGTGGCCCCATTCCCATGTGCTCTGTGCACTCTTCCTCTTGACTCACCAGTGAGGAGGTGATATCATGGGGAGGCTGTTCTGAAAATGCTTTACTTAATTTAATTCATAGCTGTGTTGGGGCAGGAAGGTGTTCCCTCCTTGTGCCCAGGGATGGATGAGTGTCCTCCAGCTGCCCCCAGAGATGCAGCGCTCTGTCCAGGTAGCACTGCCTTGCTGCTGGTCATCCATGCCAAGCCTGGGAATGAAAGCTTTGGCAACGGCTTTGGTATCTTCCTTGTGGAAAAGCATGTTGATTCCTGCAGACAAACTGGAGATGAACACACCTCTAGAGCCCAATGTGTTCGTAAAATAAATCTCCACATAACTGCAAGACAGTATTTCTGCAAAAAAATGTTTTCTTATCATGATTTTTCCCTCCATCTTAGATTCATCACTACTGGGTGAGGAACCTTCAAACAGATTTGTTTGGAGCCTTGGTGTGGACTCACAATGGCTGGGAATATTCTTGCTATTCCTAGAAAAACAGATTCCAGCTGGAGGGGAAGAAGAGCTCCAGCATTAGAGATGACCTAAACAGCACGCATCCCAGATGAGATGGGAAGTGGAGAACTGCTAGAAACATCTCTGGCCCTTTCAGCAGAACTGTTTTCCCTTTGCCTTCTTGAGGCTGAGCTGCAAACATTACATGGATGAACCCAGCAGCCTGCTGCTCTTTCTTTTTGCATGTTCACATGGTAGCTTCTGAAATAAGTTTGAACACTGTTGCTCTTGCACTCACATCAGGCTGCAGGAGAGCCCTTGCTCATGCTGCCCTGACCTCGCTGCTCTTACTTCCCCTGCTGATGCATCAGTGTACGATGTGGCTGGAAATGAGGTGGTGCAGGGTTACTCAGAGTCTACTCTGTTTTGCAGCAGAAATGGGTTGCTGGGCTCCTGAAGGCATTCCCCAGGACTGCTATGGTCCAGGAAAGATGCTCTGCTTCAAGCTGGGGTTGTGCTGATGGGAGCTGGGGATTTCACGTCTTGCTCCGGTTGGATATTTCAACCAATGGCACAAATAATGGATGTCCTCCTAAGAGGAAATACATGGCAGGAAATACATTGGCCATATGAGTTTGAGAGTCGTTTCAGTTTTGAACAGTGCACTAATCAAGATTTGGCTAATGGGTATGTTGGGACATGCACATAGATATGCTCTTCTTTTGAGTCCTCCTCTCTACCTTTCAGCCCCTGAAATCATCCAAGCTGCTAACACTCTGAGGAGGGTGACGCAGCAAAAATAATACTTTTAGCAAGAAGCAGAAAAATGAGATTTGCATATGTTTTTCTGGGAAAAATATCAAGCTGCCCTGCTTAGAAAATGAATGGGTTGGAAATCAGCTTGTAAAACTTGAAGCCTGACTCAGGCACTGATTTGTCACAGGGCTGTCACCTGCGGTCATTGTTAGTGAGGAGCCCTCAGTGTTCTGTCCAAAAGGAAAGATTGCTGTCTGTGTTATTGATGGATTTGTGTCTGGGGAAGAGCAAATCCCGGTCAAGCTGGAGGACTTTTACACACATTCAGCAGCAGGTAAGCAGGGTTGTGGAATACAGAACCATCCCTGCTCAGTGCAGAGCAGCTCCCAAGGAGCACAGTGATAAATGAATTGCAGAAAGCTGGGGGGTTCAGCTCGGCCAGGGGAAGTAATGCTGGTATCTGATCTCTGCAAACCTGATTTTCCGCTTACGTGCCTGATGATAAATCAGCGGTAAATGTGCTTACGTTGGCACGACAAGTCTTCCCCTGGATGCAGCTCTATAGGCACACACTTCCTTGACCACAAGCGCCCAGATTTGGTGCAGAAACCATAAGCATGGTGCTGGCAATCAGCATCCCATCCCAACAACAGCACAGCCATGGGAGGAGGACAGCAAGCCCTCCAGGAGAACCTCTCCAAACTGCAGAGAAGGTCTGATTTTGAAACTGGGGCAAAAGTTGAAATAGGATTTAATTTTATCTCAATTGATTCGTCTGTCCCTAATTAGTAATACCTTCCTAATGCATGATGCAAGGATACGAGGAGGTTTGTTTTTTTTTTTTTAATGAATGACTTTTGGCTAAGATAAAATATTGCTGTTCTCAGATTGTCTCTGATAGTTCTCTTCATATGCCAGTAGAGATTTGTGCAGTCTTAGATGAAAAATACATGAGATCCTGCAGTCACACACGCTGAAGACTAAACTCTTATAGATTATGGAGCTTGTCTTGTTCCCAATTTATTTTGTACATCCCATTTAGTGTCTGTATTTGCTTTTACTGAGAGAGGAGCCTCGGTCTCCCAGAATTGCAGTGTGTGATGCTGTGCAGGGATGGAGCAAAAACTGATCCTTACACCCAGGGCAGTTTCTCACAGGAACAATGTGAAATTGCCCATTTTTCTCTTTTCAGGATGAAAGTTGTGCCTGCTTTGCCTTACTTTCTCTTTCTGTCCTCTTCTCCATTTCCTCTCTCCTTCCTGCCCATGAGTTAAGGGGCTGAAAGTAGAGCTAAGGCCGCGTGGCAGGGATGCAGGAGGTGGAGCAGTGCTTGTGGGCTGTGTTTGGGTTGAATTGCATGATCCCAGGCAGCAGGAGGTGCAGGTTGCTCACAACCCGTTCCTGGATAGCATGGCCACAAGATAATCCCTCTCGCCTTGTAATGCACAGCTCTTCCACATCATTTCTGTGCTCTGACTCGTACTTTGCTGTACCATCCAACATATTCCATCCCAAACCTCAGTCTTCACACCCTTGAAACCCTTCCAGGCTGCTATCGTGTCCCTTTCCCCAACTCATCTCGCCAAGTGTTACCCCCAGGCTCTAATCCCATTCCATAAATCAGTCTCTCCAAGGCCCTGACCGTATTCTGAGATTTCCAGGGGCTGTGTGGCTCCTCTTGGGCTCACATCTCTCCTCCCTGCACAAATAAAAGCCTGAAGGCACATAGCAGGGTGAGGATCAGGTTTCTGGGCTCGTTTTATAACCGGTGCTGAGCTGCACGGAGCCCTGCATGCAGTGAGGAAGCAGGGCAGGACATGTCGAGCAGATGGTGATTCTGGACTGCAGATGAGAGCTGAGTTACGGCGCTCGCAGCACATCTTTGATACATGTCCAGCTTTTATCAGATGGTTCCACTCAGTGTTTGGCACAGCTGATGTGAGGCCGAGGAACAGCCCAGCAGTGGGAGCAGCCCCCCATCCCTTGGGCTGTCCCTCTCTGTGCACTGAGCCGGGGCTTCCCCTGCCTCTCCCACTCCTCCAGTACCAACACAGCTTTACCCCTGCATACAAAACTGCTGATATGCTTAAAGCTCCCCCGAGCTGCACAGGCTCTGCTCCCTTTGCCACATCAGCGCATGTTGCAAGCGGCTGGGAGGATGGAGAGCATGCGAGCATTTCTTGGAGCTAGAAGGCTCTGCTCCTCAGGTTTTGGCTTCAGATGACCCACACTCTTAATGCACTCCGCGCTTAATTCACCCTTGCCAGCGCAAATGCTCATATTTATGAGGTTGGTAATCACTTTCTATCAACATGCTCTGGAAGTCTGCTTCATCCACAGAACGTTCCTTCAATAAATCCTTCCCCTTCAATATTCCCAGCCCGAGCTGAGCCCAATGCCTGCTCGTGGCTTAGGAGAAGCTTTCAGAGGTCTCTTACTGAGTTAGGTTGGCTGAAAGCACACCCCAAACCTTGATGCAAGTGGCCCCAGGTAGTCTCACAAGAAGGAAACCCAAACCTTTCCCAAAGTCCTTGGAAACACTGCATTTGGTGTCTTTTTCTTCCATAACTTAAAAGCCAAGAAATGTCTGTGCAGGAGAATCAATCACATCATGAAGGAACCTTCCGGATCCTACGTCCTCCCATTTTTTAAGCCTTAACATTTTACTCACCCCACTTTCAGGAGGGAGCGCAGATATGTTTTCCATGGGATAAATCCTGAGGGTCTCATGCCTCATGCTGAGCAGCAATCCCTGTGTCAATTAAAATGTGTTGTTCTGTTCAGCTCACCCTCAGTTCAAGCCATAGGACAGCAGAGGTCCATGCCAGGACAGCACCAATGAACACAGATTGGAGCATCTTTAGCTCAGAGCTTTCTGCTCTGTATCTTTCAACTCCTTCATGGACCAACCAGAGCTCATATTGGTGCCATTTACTCAGCTG